GGCCACCCCCCTTCTGCTGAGGCCCCCCCCCTTGCCGGACTGTGAAGCCCGCCCCTCCCCCCACTTTGCCCGGCGGCCTGGCGTGGCTGTTGGCTCCCCTGTTGCCAGGCTTTCTTAAGTCTCTTCTGATGGGGGATCTAAAGGAAAGTTACCCCAGCTCCTCCCCAAAATCGTTTCTTACCAGTGCCAGCGGAGAGAGAGAAAGGCCAGCAATAACTTCTTACTCTAGGGCCATCTGCCCTGCAGGTTTGAAGGAAATCTCCTGGCAGAACAGCTAAATCAGCCTCATTCGGTGCAGCTTGCCCTAAGGGTGCCTGGCCCTCCCCGTAGGGTCAGGGTGGAGATCTCCTGGAGGGGAGATGCCAATGTGGCTTCAGGAGTCTGTCCAGCAGCTGCCAGCTCCATGGGCTCTTTGCACCCCCCCGTCAAAGGAGGCCCTGGCAGACATGCCAAGCCCTGCTGGGAACCCTGCTCCTCTCCTGTGCAGTGGGCCAAGGCAGAGCCTGCCAGGGCAGCAGGACAGGCCCCGGGAGAAGGGAGAGCCACACAAGTGGGACCAAGCGCTGAGCCATCGGGCCTCTCATTCACAGCCACGGTCACCAACCCTCACTAGTGCCTCCCCCTTGTTCCCAGCACCACGCAGCCTCGCCCGCTCCTTTGGGACCCCTGTGCTCCCAATGGACAGCTGGTGGGCGCGATCAGACCCACTTGTCTATTACCCGGGACCTCAGCAGGGCTGCAATGACCCTCTGTCCCCATGGGCCACTGGCCCAGATGCTGAAGGCCGCTCCTGCTAGGCTTCAGCCAGCAGCCACCCTAATGTCTCTGGGACCAGAGGGACTTCCTAGAGACCCTGGGATGGCAGCCCCCTGCCAGGCTAGCACCACAATTAGCAGCTACATACCAGGCCAAGTTCTGCCGGACCTGAGCCCTTCCGGCCAGAAGCCTCCTCCTCTAGGGAGCAGCCCTCTCATGGCAGGGCCTTGTCCCAGGGCCACACCGGAGGCACAAAGGTTCAAGCACCTGGCAATCCAACCCCCCGCTGAGCTCCTGGGCAGACAGACGCACACACATTCCTGGCACTGGGCCACCCTCGCTACCTGACTCCAGCAGCACGGGCTTAATGGCCTCCGGGTGGAAGAGCCGCAGAATGGGACACCAGGGGCCAAACCACCAGAGGCAGGAGTGGCTGTAGTGCCCAACCAGCTCGTGAGCCTACGACAAGGAACAGGGGTTAGCCATGGGCCAGCTGCAACTCGCAAGGCCTCTGGTCAGGGCTTCGTGCTGGGCCAACGCAGGAGCAGCACCCCAGGCAGATGCCCTGCTGGCTCTTCTCACGGTGCTTCCAGCGTCATTCCGCATGGCAGGGGAGAGACAGCCCGCACCTGGCCGTGGCCTGCATGGGGCCACTCGGGGCCCCCAGCTAGAGGGTACTCATGCAGGGCAGAACGGGGGCTTGGTGGGAAGTGTGTGCGCACTAGACATAAGCAGTCACACAGGCCTCCCTGCACAGCTCTCCGGCCCAGGCCTCTCCGCGACCCAGCAGAGCCGAGCAGGACACCACATGCTGCAATGGACACAGTGGACACATCGCTGCCCTGGCCCAGCACAGACAGGTCTGCTTCAAGGAGCAACCCCCCTGCACAGGCCCAGCCGCTGGCTGAGAGCTAAGGCCAGACCTCCCCTGGCGTTCTGCCAAGCCAACCTGGCATGGGGCAGAGAACTGGACTCTGATCCCATTGCCACATCAGCAACAGGACTACTTACGGAGTTCCACGTTACTGAGCCCAGGCCTAGCCACTGGACAGTGGGCTGCTCAAAGGCCTGGACTGGCGGCAGTGGCTGTGGGCCGTGTAAAGGGCTGGCGGGGGCGGTGGTGCAAGGGGCTGGTGGCGGAGGTGGATGCACAAAGGGCTGGCGGGGGCGGGGGGGCAAGGGGCTGGGGGGGGAGGGGGGAGGGAAAAGGGGGGGGGG